TCATGAGAAACACTGCACCAAGACGACATACAGGGTAAGGCCTTGTATTTCAGTGTAAGGTCTTTTAGTTTATCTTTGTGAAGCCATGAATGATCCAGATTGTGTACCAGTTAAACAGTTTTTCATCAATTCCATATTGTCGCATTCAGTTTCTGTAACTTCAGCTTTATGACAAATGACACTAATTTCCTGGGGCTAACTGAGGGAACTGTAGATCTTGGCTTCTAAGGAGGTTCCTCAGAAACTAGGAAGATTTTTATTACACTTTATGGGTGGCACATTGGTTAGCATTGCTGCCTTGCCCTGGATTCAATTCTGGGCCTGGGGCTCTATGTATGTAGAGTTTGTATGTACCTCCCATATTCACGTGGGTTAGCTCTGGGTGCTGTAGTCCAAAGACACGCTGGGAGGTTAACTGGTTTCTTGGAAAATTGGCCCTGGTGTGTGCGTGTATGTTTCTGTGTCTGTGTGTGCCCTGTGATGGGCTGGCATCCCTACCAGGATGTATCCTCCCTTATGCCCATTGCTTGCTCCAGTTCCCTTGTGCCCTGAAATTGGAAAAAACAGATAGTAAATGGATGGGTTATTGTACATTTTCTGGAGAAAACTGTTTCCACATGGTGAACATTCTCTGGTTCTTTTTGCACTTTTGTCTTTAAAGCTGGCAGTTTTGTGTCAGGCTACATTAAGTGTGCTGCTGCTAAAAAAATGTTTTTCTGCTTGCTTTAATACCGTTCCCAGACATGTCTTTGACAGGTGTCATGGGTAAGTTGTTTAACTTGTGTGCTTGCTTTGCTGTGATTTCTTCTTTTGGACAGCACATTATTTCAGAAATTATTTGTTTTGCTCCATTAACCTCGTACTTGATCTGTATTCTGTGATCAGAAGAACCCTTGATGCAAAATCATCATTTGGTATAAAGATATTCGGCTTGTTGCTTTTTTGTAGCCATGACTAGTTTAAATTCCATTTTACATTTATGTAATTGACAATAGTAGGAGCAGAATGCAGTGAATGTGAATTCCACTCTAATATAATCTTCTGTACGTCACGCTGGTGTAACGGTTATTTTAAACCAAGGGTTTGAAGCATACGTGTACATTCTCTCAGCTGTAAGAACATAAATCAAGCACAGATTTGAATTAATGAGTAACTGGAGTTACAAAGTACAGGCTTGGTAGATGTGCTCTGAGTGCAAATCCATAAAATATTTAGCATGTTTGCAAAATTTATTATAGGCAGAGCATGTGTACCATGTACCATATGAACTTTTTTTTTCAACACTTTGTTTTGAGGAGAACCAGAATTATATCCTTCAGGGCATGCTTGAAAATGGTCTCGAATTTACCATTTGTTGAGGCAGAGGCCTGAAGTCGGTAGGCCCCAGCTGATCAAGCAAGCTGGGTTTATTGAAGTTATTCATAGACATTGCTCCTCTTTATCATTATTAGTGGCTTTAGGGTTCTGTGCCAACTGCAATGATTAATTTAATTGATTTCTGATCTACAGAATGCAGTACATGTCAT